CCCTCCCTTGTTCTGGCCTGCACCTCTCCTGCTATCAGATGACGCCGCGAGAACCCTGCTTGACCCCTGACCTTCACAAGCTCTGGAGCTGTAAGAAATAACTGTCCTTTACACGCAGTGCAAATCAGTCTAAACTACTGGACAGAAGCTCACCGAGACAGTGCAGGGTGTGTGTGGGGGAACCTGACTGAGGACCAGGGGAAAGGAGGAGACGCAACTATTTAACCAGGCAAGTTTACTAAGAACATTTTGTCAACAGTAAATACTTTGTAAAAACATCTGCGGTAAAAACCCTGTCCCAAAGAACTCAGGGCCCAGAATTCCAATGGACCACATTTCCGTTCATGTTACTAGTCTCATAAATACAGATTTTTTTAAAAAGCATTGTTCTAGTCTATAATGCACAAATATTGAGACTCATACAGCGCAGGGTTGCTATGCCGCACAAAGCACCATGGCTGCAAGGGGCAGGCCACACACTGCCGATGTGAGCGGGAAGCCCGCGCCTGCTGGGACATGATTTGAGGCTCCTTACGGGCTACTGATGAATATGATTCAATCCGGAGGCAGGGTTGGGGCCTGGCTAGCGTTTCTCTGAGTCTTCTGCACTTCAGGAATTGTGGGGCCTGGGCCACACACACACAGCTCTGCATAGCAGAATACAGAGGAGCATTCCCTACGAGGAAGCGACACCTGTCAACAGCTGGCAACCTCCCACTTGGTGAAAGTCCTTCCCGTGGCCTCTCTGCCGAGACCTGGATGGATGCTGAGATTTCCCCGCTGTGTCACATCCCGAGGGTGACAATTCTTATACGTGGTGACTGTCCACGTCTAGGGCAATTCTCCTCTCATCAGTGACTTCTGACATTTGTAAAGAATCCACCTCTGAAACAGAAGCTCACCCCCAGCCCTGTGAAGTCTCTGGAGTCTCTGGGTTCTGAGGAACCTCTCAGCACAGACTTCCAGGGAGACCGATGCCTTCCAGGGCCTCCCCACCCCCCACACCTGCTGGTGGCACAAGGCCCCTATGGGTTCCCCGCGGTGTGGACCCGCTGGTGGTAGGCCAGGTGCGACCTCTGGCTGAAGGCCTTGCCGCACGCCTCGCAGCCGTACGGCTTCTCCCCGGTGTGCACCCGCTGGTGCGTGTTGAAGTGCGAGGCCTGGCTGAAGCGCTTGCCGCACTGCTGGCACGTGTAGGGCTTCTCCCCGGTGTGCACCCGCTGGTGCGCGCTGAGCCCCGCGCTCCAGCTGAACTCCTTCCCGCACTGCTCGCACTTGAACGGCTTCTCCCCGGTGTGGATGATCCGGTGGACCTGGAGGTTGGACCTCTGGCTGAAGGCCTTGCCGCACGCCTCGCAGCGGTAGGGCTTCTCGCCGGTGTGCACGCGCTGGTGGGCCTGCAGGTGGGAGGCCTGGCTGAAGCGCTTGCCGCACGCCTCGCAGCGGTAGGGCTTCTCGCCGGTGTGCACCCGGACGTGGATGCTGAGGTCGGTGCTGCGGCTGAAGGCCTTGCCGCAGCGCTCGCAGCGGTAGGGCCTCTCGCCGGTGTGCACCCGGACGTGGATGCTGAGGTCGGTGCTGCGGCTGAAGCCCTTGCCGCACGCCGCGCAGCGGTAGGGCTTCTCGCCGGTGTGCACGCGCTGGTGCGTGTGCAGGTTCGAGCTGCAGCTGAAGCGCTTGCCGCAGTCGCCGCACGCGTACGGCTTCTCGCCGGTGTGGGGGCGCTCGTGGGCCTGCAGGTGCGACCTCTGCGTGAAGCCCCTCCCGCAGCGCTCGCAGCGGTAGGGCCTCTCGCCGGTGTGCACCCGGACGTGGATGCTGAGGTCGGTGCTGCGGCTGAAGCCCTTGCCGCACGCCGCGCAGCGGTAGGGCTTCTCGCCGGTGTGCACGCGCTGGTGCGTGTGCAGGTTCGAGCTGCAGCTGAAGCGCTTGCCGCAGTCGCCGCACGCGTACGGCTTCTCGCCGGTGTGGGGGCGCTCGTGGGCCTGCAGGTGCGACCTCTGCGTGAAGCCCCTCCCGCAGCGCTCGCAGCGGTAGGGCCTCTCGCCGGTGTGCACCCGGACGTGGATGCTGAGGTCGGTGCTGCGGCTGAAGCCCTTGCCGCAGTGGTCACAGCGGTAGCGCTTTGGCCTCCCTGGAGGGCCGCTTTGTTGGGTGGGGACCCCGGAGCTGTGCTCCGTGTCCTCGTGTGCACTGTGCACCGGGGACCTCTTTCCTGATTCGCCCTGCTGATGGAGTCCCGGCCTGGGGCTGCCACTGAAGGCTTCTCCGCCCTGGCTGCCCTGGTTGGCCTTCCACTCTGTGTGAACGCCTTGCAGGGTGTGTGGCGATATTGCTGAATTGACTTTACTGCGGACGCCACTACTGCTGCGGGCTTTGTCTCCTTGGTGGCTATGGTGCTGGGAAAGGCAAGTCGGACTGTCGATGCCTGGAGCCGACAGCTGTGGCTTGGGTTTCCCAGGAGTCTGCTGAGGGTGGTGGCTCCGGTGGCTCCGTCTCTCCCTAAGATGAGTTTTACTCCAAGAGCCCTGAGCTTTCCCAGACAGACATTCCTGGTTTTTGGTTATGCTGGAATGGTCTCCTGTGAGACTCTCAAGACGGTCGTCATCCATGGAGGCCCAGGGCGGCTCTTCTGCTCCCCCGTGGCAGAAGGAGTGACGCTGCTCCGGGAGGTGGGGGCCCTTTCCTTGAGTGTTTACCACGGCACCTGGAGTTCTGGCCAGTTCGTTGACACCTTGGCTCATCATTTGCCAGCATGGAAGCCGCCCCAGTAAGAGGCAACTTAATCCTGCTTCGTGAAGAGTCTCCATCTTGTTTGGACCTTGGCCTCCTGAGAGAATACAGAATGGAAAGTGACATCAGCAAGGGTGGGGACATCAAAGAGCCGAGTCCTCATTTCTCTCTGTAAACATTAACTAGAGACCAGCGCCAAAGACTTCCAGGAGCTCTGGGAATAAGGGTCTGTGACAAAGAGAGCGTGCACTCAAGAGTTTGACCTGGTGGGAAATTTGGGGTGAGCCCAGGAGCAAAGACTGGGCCTCATACCTGCCTCACTCAGCCGGTGTGTAGCTGTGTAGACGGATAATGGGGTGGGGGGAGCACTTTTCAGCGTGTTTTTACTTGAGGGATGGTGTGGGTTGGAGTACACATGGGTTGGCTCCTCCCTGAGACTGGAGGGAGCAGAGGACCAGGCCTGCCAGGTGACAGGAAGACCCATCTGGTTCAGCTAACAACATACTAAGATTTACATTAATATTCTTAACCTTTGTCAACAGAAACATTATTATTATTATAAATCAAACTATTATTGTGATTTATAGAGCATTCTAGAAGTAATCAGGTCTTTTTGCTTCTGAGTCTTGTGTGTGTGTGTGTGTGTGTGTGTGTATGTGTGTGTGTGTGTGTGCCTGCTGAGTAGGGAAGGCCTCCTCTGGGAAAAGGCCGAATGCAGGCACAGGAAGGAGTGAGTTTCCTTCAAACGCCTGCTCTTCTCCCTGCTGCTGGCAGAGTTGTAAGTGTGAGCCCTAGGAAGGTGGGCCCCAGCCAGGCACAGTGGACCAAACCGGCACCCTAGTGCTTGGGAAGCTGAGGCAGGAAGATCTGGGCAAGCCTGGACTACACATAGAAGTTCTTGCCACAAAACCAAAGAACTCCGGTGGTGGCACATGCCTTTAATCCCAGCACTCAGGAGGCAGAGGCAGGCGGATCTCTGTGAGTTCGAGACCAGCCTGGTCTACAAGAGCGAGTTCCAGGACAGCCAGAGCTGTTAAACAGAGAAACACTGTCTTGAACAAAAACAAAAGAAAACAAACAAAACCCTCAAACCAAACCAACCAAACAAACAAAAATCCCAAAGACCTCAAAGTAACAACTTGATTTTACTGAGTAAAATGTGAAGCTGGGGTTCTGAGGCAGGGAACAGCACAATGGGACTCTGGGGGTGGGGGTGGGGCTGGGGGCGGG